CCAAATAAATTCAAATTAATGAACCCAATTAAATAATTTAGATTAATGTACCCAATTAAATTCAAATGAATCATGTACACAATTCATAAAAACTCTATAACTCCAAAATACATTAAACTAAAAATAATAGGCAAGAGTTACAAACCAATATCCATTTAGCAATTAACATATGCAAATAATTCTAAAAACATTAAATTATGTAATCTAGTCTAGAAAATAATAAGCATGTAACAAATTAAAAACTAGAATAGAATTAGCATGTCAAAATTATAACATCCATAAATTATATTTTATAACCTTAAAATTCATGCAAAACATGGTAGGGGAATGATGAACCATACGCATAATATAAGATCATACTAATACAATTAAGTATGCAAATTATGATAGAGCATTCTAATTAAACTAAGCAATTAGAGAATAATATTGCATAATTTACAATCATTGAAATAGTGAGCAATTCCGCAACAGTTCCTAGTAACATTATACAAAGCTAACCTAATTGTCTGTATAAATCTATTCGATCAATTTCATAGAAAATAAATAAGAAATCTGTTTTAAGCTTGTTGTTCAAATTGTGAAATTAAATAAATAGATTTATGAAGAAATCAAAATTATATACCAAGAACATATGCTGATAATTACAACTAAATTTCAACAAAAATACACAAAACAATAAAATGATAAAGAAACCAAACCGAAGCCTGCACGGTAGCAGTTTCCTTAAAACAGATTTCGCCACCTCACGGGTTGAGTGCTTGAGGAATCCCGGCGTCTGTCTCCCAGGACACAACGGTCAAAAACTAACTACGGCAGAAGCACTCTCTGTCTAGCTTAGCGAACAAAACCAGTGGCAGCACTCTCTCACAGTAGGAACTTTCTGGCAAACTGACTTGTAAAATGGAAGTAAAAATTTCTATATAGAGACTTGACAGAAGGGTCTTAATTTATACATGTATAGGGGAGAGAAGAAAAGCCTCTAGCCTTTATGGCTGGTCATTAAAGCCTCATAAACCAGGATCCATAACCCCTTTCCAAAAAGATGAAAAGTTTGGATGCCTAAAGGATTTACACCCTTTAGCCAAGAAAAAGGATTTAAATACCCTTAAAATCTCATTCATGAATCTAACATCATGAGGCAAGTTCTTGGCAATTTCTTATTCAATTCTCAATGGTTTTTGGCCCACTTGGACCCAACACAATAGATGGTTGGGACCCACTTTAATATTTAATTAAAGTCACCACACTTTAATATTAAATTAAAGTCACCAAAAAACCATTTTTTCAAACAGTACGTATCTTAGTTTCCCTTCTATTCCGCTTATTTTTGGTTATCGGGTTATAGTGATGTGTTTGGAACAGGTAATGTCTCCAAACCTTTAGATGCGAATCCAATCCGAATTGTGCCTTGCAAAATTCTATCAAAAGTTAATTCTTTCATGTTTTGTCACTTCGCTGAGTATGTCGAGGGTCGAGCTACCCGGTCAGCTCGTAGGGGTCTAGGGGACAGCGCCCCCTGGCGGGTCTGAGGGCAGCGCCCTGGCGAGGTCAAGGGGCAACGCCCCTGAAGCAAAAATGCAAAATGCATTCAAAGTTTCTTGAGCCGCACATGCGGAAAACAGGGGAGGGCTTGTTTGGCTACTGCAATAAATGCAGATGCGGCGGGAGAAGTGCTGCACGTGCGGTGGTAGGTGAGCCCGAAATTTTATTCTTTTCTTCTCTTTAGGCTGAGTGTATCTCACTCTTGTTAGGTCTTTCTCTCTCTCTAAAAAACCCTTTCCTCTACATTTCTGTCACACCCCCAACTCGCCCCTAAAAGTTTGGGCATGACCTATTCAGAAACGGACATTTAACCTGATATACATAACATACGAGGCCTGAAAAGAGCATTAAGCATAAAAAAAATAACAGAAAACAATCTCCATTGAGCTATCACTACTATGCCAGGATTACAAACATCATAACAGGAAAATAATATACAGAAACATGCATCGAAGCATCGGTTATATACATACGTATATACAAACCCGGCCATAAGATTGGACGTATAACAAAAATATTATTTACATTTCAACTGTAGTCGGCAATTAGAGTACAAACCAAAAGCCCAACCAAACCACACTAAAATGCACGGGCCTCTCCAAGTGCCTAGTTATACTTAGGTTGACAAAAGGGAGACGGGTATCGGGGTTAGGACTGACCTCCTGGTTGATTACCTACAGAATCAGACATAATACAGAGTGAGCTACGCTCAGTGAATAATAATATTTAAGCAGTTCAATGCACAACTCAAATTATAATACATAATAACGCGTATGTAACTGCAAAGCTCATATGGTTATTCCGATGCTATGTTACTTTCAAAATAGCCATCGGCCCAGAAATAACAGATTGGCCCTCGGCCCAGAAATAACAGAACGGCCATCGGCCCAGAAATAACAGAATGGCCAGCAGCCCAGAAATAACAGAATGGAATAGTTCCGGAGTGATCCAGATGTATACAAATTCCTTCAACGTTTACATTCGCACGAATTCCACTTGTTAATATACATGTTATTGCCGTGACTTATGGAAAACAGAACGTTAATAGCAACATGCATTAACGGTAAATAAATGTACGTTGATTGCACTATTACTCACTGTGTCGTGGCGGGACGCTGGTTCCTTCCGGAGTATGCCCTACACACATATACAAGTCACAAATCAATCCTTGTTCTTTGTTAATTAGTCCCAGACTTGCCTTGGGTCGAACAAATTTGTAGATATCAAAAAGGTTTCAAATACAGATTTTAACAATATTAGAGGGTTAAACACGTAAAACGGAGCAACCCGTGTTTCTCAGCATGGGCCGCATGTGCGACTGTGAGCCCTGCACGTACATCAAAGGTCCCCGCACGTGCGGCAGTGATGCCCCGCACGTGCCTTTTAGACAGTAGCAAAAACCTCAAAATTCAACATTCTTCCCACGTGCGGCCATGACCCCCGCACGTGCGGCAAGGGTTCCCGCACGTGCGGCACTGACTCCCGCACGTGCGGCGATCTGCTTCAATTTTCAGTCCGAATTTCCTATAAAATTCATCTTTTCGTAAGTTTCTCCAAGGCTTGAAATAAGGCTCTTAGTTGATATAACATGGTTCAAAATTTATGCATCAAGACATCTCAAGCATGTATCAACTTCCACATGAATTGATTCTTCAATTCCCCACAATTCATAAACACAAGTTGGACACTTTGAATCCCTTCTAGATAATTACCAAACGTACACACAATCATTTAAAGCCATGAATAAGTTCAAATATGTGTAGGTAAGGAATAGCATGGTAAGAATACAATGATAAAAGATAGAATAAACTTCTACTCCCCGTAACCTAACTTAGCCCCAAATCAATTCCATGATAACACATCTTTCAATTCAACAAACACACACCCTAGCTTGCATGATCGTCAATGAATTCAAATAAAATTCACATACCTGGAGCTCTAAACCCTACAATCTTCTAGTTTTCCCCAAATCCATAGCTTGAAAAACTCCTCCTCTCTATTCCTTCTCTTCCCTCTCTCTCAGGATATGTGTAGAGTTCTAAGCCAACCATTTAAAGGAATATATATATATATATATATATAAAAGGTGAATAAAACAAAACTTAAACAGTTTAATCATCCCGAATCAAATTTCCACAAAAATGCTTATTATTACCTAAAAATTATGCCGACTCCAAATATAAAATCAGTTTTGAATTATCAAGTCTCTAAGGCCTTCAATTTCTGATTCGAACAGTCTAGTTGTAACAGATACTTTTCTTACCAAACAGATATAGGTCTCATCTCATAAGATCCATATACTAAACTTAATTTCTAATGACATTTCACATTAAGCATTTAAGTGCACAAAGTAAGGGACTAGAATATGTCAGAAACACGTACGAGGGTCGGGGTATTACACTCTCCCCCTCATAAAAAGTTTGGTCCCTCAAACTTGTTTTACCTCAAGGCTGAAATAGATGCGGATATTGGTGTTGCATGTCTTCTTCTTTTTCCCATGTTGCTTCAGTTCTGTAATGCTCTTGCCATTCAACTTTAGCATCGGAATTTCCCAGTTTCATAACTGTTTCACTTGTCGATCTAGAATTCGAATTGGCTTCTCTTCGTATTCCAACTTATCATCTAGGACAATCTGGTGATAATCAATGATATGGGACGGATTCGAAAGATATCCTTGAACCATAGAGACATGGAACACATTATGTACTTGACTCATACTTGGCGGAAGGGCAACTCGGTAAGCTACCGGACCCACTCTTTCCAGAATTTGAAAGGGGCCAACATATCGGGGTGTTAACTTTCCTCTTTTCCCAAACCTGGTGTGTCCGGATGCCCTTTCATTGGGGTGACTTTCACGAACACATGACTATCTACTTCAAAATCCAAATTCCTTCGTCGGTTATACGCATAACTCTTCTGTCTGCTTTGAGCCGTTTTCAATCTTTCCCGGATAATTTTAACCCTTTCAGTTGTCAACTGCACAATTTCAGGCCCTAGCAATGATCTATCCCTAACTTCGGCCCAACACACGGGGGAACGGCACGGTCTCCCATACAAAGCTTCATAGGGTGCCATTTCAATACTTGAATGGTAACTATTGTTGTATGCAAACTCTACCAACGGTAGATGGGTTTCCCAACCTTCTAGAAAATCCAGCACACACATTCGGATCATATCTTCTAGAGTTTGTATCGTTCTCTCGGATTGACCGTCGGTCTGAGGGTGAAAAGCTGTGCTGAAATTGAGTTCTGTACCCATAGCTTCCTGCAGACTTTGCCAGAATCTTGAAACAAACTTGGGATCCCTATCCGACACAATTGAAACTGGAACACCATGAAGCCTTACAATTTCATTCACATAAAGTACTGCGAGTTTATCTGTATTATATTGAGTCTTCACTAGTAGGAAGTGGGCAGACTTAGTTAATCGGTCTATAATGACCCATATAGAATTCATACCCCGAGGAGTCTATGGTAACCCCACAACAAAATCCATGGTCAAATGTTCCCACTTCCATTCCGGGATTGGAAGGGCTTGCAACAGTCCTGCTGGTCTCTGATGTTCTGCCTTTACTTGCTAACACTGTAGACATTTAGAAACAAATTTTGCGATCTCCTTTTTCATACCTGGCCGCCAAAAGTTTTGTTTCAAATCCCGGTACATTTTGGTACTTCCCGGATGCATCGAAAACCTCGAGGCATGTTCTTCTTCCATTAGTTTTCGTTTAAGTTCCAACACATTAGGGACACATATTCTGTTTTGAAACTTGAGCACCGAATCCACTAAACTGAACCCCGGTTTTGGTTTTGTCTCCAACTCATCACATACTTTCCGTAGAGTTTCATCTTCCATTTGACGTAGCTTGATCTCTTCAAGTAAGGTTGGTTGAGCCATCATCGCTGCTATCACGGCCTCATGTCCACGTATCACAAGATCTATATCCATTTTATCCAATACAGTCACCAACTCCTCTTGCTTCGTAAATAGATTTGCCAAATCTCCCATATTTTTTCGACTAAGCGCATATGCAACTGTGTTGGCTTTACCAAGATGGTAATGAATCTGTAAATCATAATCTTTAATCAGCTCTAACCAGAGCCGTTGTCGCATATTCAACTCTTTCTGAGTAAAAAGGTACTTGAGACTTTTGTGATCAGTATAAACTTCGCAAGTAGTGCCATACAGATAATGTCGCCATATCTTCAAAGCAAAAACTACTACTGCTAGCTCAAGATTGTGTGTGGGATAATTCTTCTCATGGAGTTTCAGTTGTCGAGAGACATAAGCAATAACTCTTCCATTTTGCATAAGTACACAACCAAGCCCTTTATGCGAAGCATCATTGTAGATTACAAACCCTTCGATACCGGATGGTAAGGCCAGAACTGGTGCTGTAGTCAACTTTGCTTTCAACTCCTGAAAGGCAAACTCCCGCTCTTCTGACCATTCAAATGCAATTCCCTTTCGAGTCAATTGTGTAAGCGGCATAACAATTTTGGAAAAATCGTGAACAAACCTCTTGTAATAACCGGCTAATCCCATAAAACTACGTACCTCAGTCACATTGGTAGGAGTTGGCCAATTCACGATCGCCTCAATTTTATGTGGATCTACAGAGACTCCATCCTTTGTTATTACATGCCCCAGAAATGCTACCTCATGTAACCAGAATTCACATTTCTTTAGTTTTGCGTATAGCTTCTTTTCTCGAAGTGTTTGAAGGATTAGGCGAAGATGACCCTCATAGGCTTCAGCATTTTTCGAGTAAATGAGGATGTCATCAATAAATACCACCACAAACTCATCCAAATAGGGCTCGAAAACACGGTTCATCAAATCCATAAATGCTGCTGGTGCGTCAGTAACGCCGAAGGGCATAACCAGAAATTCGTAATGACCGTACCGGGTTCGAAAAGCTGTCTTCTCCACATCATCAGCTTTGGCCTTCAATTGATGGTATCCAGGCCGTAGATCATTTTTTGAGAAAACTTGTGCCCCTTGAAGCTGGTTAAATAAATCATCGATTCGTGGCAATGGGTACTTATTCTTGATTGTTACTTTATTGAGTTCCCTGTAATCAATACACAAACGGAGTGTTCCATCATTCTTTTTCACAAACAGAACTGGTGCACCCCAGGGAGAGACACTCGGGCGAATGAACCCCTTATCTAGTAGATCTTGCAACTGAATCTTCAATTCCTTCATCTCAACTGGTGACATTCTATACGGAGTTTTAGAAATAGGTTGAGTTCCCGAAGCTACTTCAATTGTAAATTCGATTTCACGGTCTATTAACTCCCCCGGTAATTCTTTCGGAAAGACATCCGAAAATTCACAGACAACTGAAATATGATCAATACTCTCATTCATCACCTGTCCCTCCAAAATACTGCATAAATATCCCAGGCACCCTTTCTGAATCAATTTACAAGCCTTTGCTGTAGAAACCAAATAAGGTGGAGAGGTTACACCACATCCTTGAAAAATAGATTCTGGTTGTCCCGGAGGGTGGAAACTGATTTGCTTGTTCAAACAGTCTATAGTTGCACCATATTCACTCAACCAGTCCATGCCCAGAATAATTTCAAAATAGGTCAAGTCAAGAGGCAACAGATTGGCATATACCCGGATATCCTCAAGTTGGAGTTCACAAGCAAAATATACAGAAGCACAAATCATAGAATCTCCCAAATGTGAAGACACACATAACATATATGACAAATTTTCCTTAGATTTATCTAAATGTTGCACAAATAATTTTGACACAAAAGAATGGGTAGAACTAGAATCAAACAATACATGAGCAGAATAACAATGAACCATAAATGTACCTGACACCACTGTCGCAATATTCTGCACATCCCCCGGAACCAATACAAATACCCTGCCTTGCCTCGTAGTGTCTTTGTTGTTAGCAGGTTTTGCAACCGACTTGGTGTTGGAAGTTGGTGCAGACCCTACTGAACTTGTAACAGCTTTGTTGTTATTTTGTCGATTTCCTTGAGGACAATCCCTTATCAGATGACCCGTTTTGCCACATCGAAAACATGCTCCAGACAGTCGGTGGCAAACCCCACGGTGCCTCCTTCCACATTCTGAACACACAGGGGTTGAATCTTGAGTAGAAGTGGTTGTGCTGGAGATCCCTAAATTTTGCTTCTTATTTGGTAGAGTAGTTATGCCCTTTGACCATTGAGTATTCTGCCTCTTCCCTTTCCATTCAGAAATTCGGTTCTGAGTAGCGAGGTTTCCTTCTACTATAACAGCCCTCTCCAACACATCGACATAAATGGGTAACTTCAGCATGTTGACCTTGTCCAGTATAGCGCTCCGTAATCCGCCTTCAAATGTACGCGCTTTCTTGTAATTTGTGTCCACCATATGAGGTGCAAACCGTGCTAGTTCTGCAAATTGAGCCTCATATTCAGCAACGGTCTTGTTCCCTTGTCTAAGAGTTTCAAACTCGGTCACCTTCTTGTCTCGTATACTTTGGGGAAAGTACTTATCATAAAACAAATCCAAGAATTTGTCCCATGCCAATCCCGGATGTATAGTTCTCGTAAGCATCCGCCATCTTCGTGCCTCGTCCTCAAGAGTAAAGGCTGCCAGTTACACTTTTTGGGCTTCGGTGTAAGGAAAAACTTCAAATAACTTTTCTATTCCCAACACTCATGCCTCAGCTTCCATTGGTTCTATCCCTCCTTTGAATGACGGCGGTTTCATCTTTTTAAACTCCTTGGTAAGGGTAATGGTTCGGTCTTCAGCATGGAAATCTTATACTACAGGTGGAGGTACCGGTGTTGGTAGCGGTTACGGTTGTGGCTGTTGCTGTTGTTGCCGTAGGGTTTTTGCCATTTCCATAATCATTCTTTCCAACCTGTCCAACCTTGCAGAAATGGCGTCTTCTAGGTCATCTGCTCTTGTTCTCACCATATTCTACAAGACATTCAATTACAATACATACAAGAATATACCATAAACATGAATCGTGATCGTTAGCGTTAGCCAAATACATTTAACGTTGCCATCGGTCTTTCATATACATTCAGAATGCAATGCATGATGCCTAAGTCTTTTCTAGACATCCTAAGGCTCAATGGATTCGTGCATGAGATGGCAACTCATGCTCTGATACCGCTTGTCACACCCCCAACTCGTCCCTAAAAATTTGGGCATGACCTATTCAGAAATGGACATTTAACTTGATATACATAACATACGGGGCCTGAACGGAGCATTAAGCATAAAAAAAAAATAACAGAAAACAGTCTCCATTGAGCTATCACTACTATGCCAGGATCACAAACATCATAACAGCAAAATAATATACAGAAACATGCATCGGAGCATCGGTTATATACATACGTATATACAGACCCAGCCCTAAGATTGGACGTATAACAAAAATATTATTTACATTTCAACTGTAGTCGGCAATTAGAGTACAAACCAAAAGCCCAACCAAACCTCACTAAAATGCACGGGCCTCTCCAAGTGCCTGGTTATACTTAGGTTGACAAAATGGAGACGGGTATCGGGGTTAGAACTGACCTCCTGGTTGATTACCTACAAAATCAGACATAATACAGAGTGAGCTATGCTCAGTGAATAATAGTATTTAAGCAGTTCAATGCACAACTCAAATTAAAATACATAATAACGCGTATGTAACTGCAAAGCTCATATGGTTATTCCGATGCTGTGTTACTTTCAGAACGGCCATCGGCCCATAAATAACAGATTGGCCCTTGGCCCAGAAAAAACAGAATGGCCATCGGCCCAGAAATAACAGAATGGAATAGTTCTGGAGTGATCCAGATGTATACATATTCCTTCAACGTTTACATTCGCACGAATTCCACTTGTTAATATAAATGTTATTGCCGTGACTTATGGAAAACAGAACGTTAATAGCAATATGCATTAACGGTAAATAAATGTACGTTGATTGCACTATTACTCACTGTGTCATGGCGAGACGCTGGTTCCTTCCGGAGTATGCCCTACACACATATACAAGTCACAAATCAATCCTTGTTCTTTGTTAATCAGTCCCAGACTCGCCTTGGATCGAACAAATTTACAGATATCAAAAAGGTTTCAAATACAGATTTTAACAATATTAGAGGGTTAAACACGTAAAACAGAGCAACCTGTGTCTTTCAAAATGGGCCGCACGTGCGGTTGTGAGCCTCACACGTGCAACAAAGGTACTCGCACGTGCGGCAGTGATGCCCCGCACGTGCCTTTTAGACAGTAGCCAAAACCTCAAAATTCAACATTCTCCGCACGTGCGGCCATGACCCCCGCACGTGCGACAAGGGTTCCCGCTTCAATTTTCAGTCCAAATTTCCTATAAAACTCATCTTTTGGTAAGTTTCTCCAAGGCTTGAAATAAGGCTCTTTGTTAATATAACATGGTTCAAAATTTATGCATCAAGACATCTCAAGCATGTATCAACTTCCACATGAATTGATTCTTCAATTCCCCACAATTCATAAACACAAGTTGGACACTTTGAATCCCTTCTAGATAATTACCAAACATACACACAATCCTTTAAAGCCATATATAAGTTCAAATATGTGTAGGTAAGGAATAGCATGGTAAGAATACAATGATAAAAGATAGAATAAACTTCTACTCCCCATAACCTAACTTAACTCCAAATCAATTCCATGATAACGTATCTTTCAATTCAACAAACACACACCCTAGCTTGCATGATCATCAATGAATTCAAACAAAATTCACATACCTGGAGCTCTAAACCCTACAATCTTCTAGTTTTCCCCAAATCCCTAGCTTGAAGAACTCCTCCTCTCTATTCCTTCTCTTCCCTCTCTCTCAGGATATGTGTAGAGTTCTAAGCCAACCATTTAAAGGAATATATATATATATATATAAGGTGAATAAAACAAAACTTAAACAGTTTAATCATCCCGAATCAAATTTCCACAAAAATGTTTATTATTACCTAAAAATTATGCCGACTCCAAATATAAAATCAGTTTTGAATTATCAAGTCTCTAAGGCCCTCAATTTCTGATTCGAACAGTCTAGTTGTAACAGATACTTTTCTTACCAAACAGATATAGGTCTCATCTCATAAGATCCATATACTAAACTTAATTTCTCATGACATTTCACATTAAGCATTTAAGTGCACAGAGTAAGGGACTAGAATATGTCAGAAACACGTACGAGGGCCGGGGTATTATAATTTCCCTACGCCAAATTGGATCAAAACCTTGATTTCTCAAGATCCATTAGAGTTCTGCCATAGTTTCTTCATCAAAGTTAGTTAGCTTCTCGAGGGCTTCGTTGTGTGCAGTAAAGATCGAGTTTCGACGCCGTTGATTTTGGGGGTTTCATCCCATTTCTTCTTCAAAACTTGAGGTGGGGATTTTCTTAGAGTTATATATATATTTTTGCAAGATCTAGATGATTTTCGAAATCATCCTTCGATAGCTTTGAAAATTGATTGTTGATTCAAGAAGTTGAGCGATTTTGAAAGTGGATTTGTCTCTTGTTCTTTTAAAATGATCTTATGGGTTTTGATCTTCGTTGATTGAAGAAAAGATGATTTTGGAAAGTTTTCTTTCAAAAGACTTGAGTTACACAATTTTGGTGGGAAAACCTAGAAATTTTGGGATTTTTAAAAGAGATTGAAAATCCATGAATGATATTGTTATATTTATTTTGTGTGTCAAAATAAATCTATGTTTGGAAAATTTCTTATTTATATTTATATAAATGATGAATTTCCTAGAATATGAGAATTGTTCATTTTTGAAAATATTGTTCAAAACATTGAAATAGTCTTGAAATGACTAATCGTTGAGGATACTTGAGAAGAGGGAATTGTGTTATTCCTTGGATAATAAATTGGAATAAAAGTATTTATATTTATCTTGTGAAATTGGCATATCAATTTATTTGATTACATTAAACTTTGAAAGTTGATTTGAAAACTTGCATTGAGAAAAGAATGTTGAGAACTAAGTTTTCATGAAATGGTTTTAGGATAAATACGGTAGTAAGTCTTGAAAGGTGGTGTAGATGATAGGTGTCGAGCCTTCCAGCTAATACTGCTAAAAATGACAGATTACAGGTGTCGAGCCTTCCAGTTAATACTAGTAAAAATGACAAATTGATAATACTTGTATAGTCTACTTGCAGACACCGACTTAGGGATTAGGCGAGACGCTGGTTCCTTCCGGAGTATGCCCTACACACATATACAAGTCACAAATCAATCCTTGTTCTTTGTTAATCAGTCCCAGACTCGCCTTGGATCGAACAAATTTACAGATATCAAAAAGGTTTCAAATACAGATTTTAACAATATTAGAGGGTTAAACACGTAAAACAGAGCAACCCGTGTTTTTCAGCATGGGCCGCACGTGCGGCTGTGAGCCCCGTACGTGCGGCAAAGGTCCTCGCACGTACGGTAAAGGTCCCCGCATGTGCGGCCATGACCCCCGCACGTGTGGCAAGGGTTCCCGCACGTGCAGCAATGACTCCCGTACGTGCGGCGATCTACTTCAATTTTTAGTCTGAATTTCCTATAAAATTCATCTTTTGGTAAGTTTCTCCAAGGCTTGAAATAAGGCTCTTAGTTAATATAACACGGTTCAAAATTTATGCATCAAGGCATCTCAAGCATGTATCAACTTCCACATGAATTGATTCTTCAATGGCCCACAATTCATAAACACAAGTTGGACACTTTGAATCCCTTCTAGATAATTACCAAACATACACACAATCCTTTAAAGCCATATATAAGTTCAAATATGTGTAGGTAAGGAATAGCATGGTAAGAATACAATCATAAAAGATAGAATAAACTTCTACTCCCCATAACCTAACTTAACTCCAAATCAATTCCATGATAACGTATCTTTCAATTCAACAAACACACACCTTAGCTTGCATGATCATCAATGAATTCAAATAAAATTCACATACCTGGAGCTCTAAACCCTACAATCTTCTAGTTTTCCCCAAATCCCTAGCTTGAAGAACTCCTCATCTCTATTCCTTTTCTTCCCTCTCTCTCAGGATATGTGTAGAGTTCTAAGCCAACAATTTAAAGGAATATATATATATATAAGGTGAATTAAACAAAACTTAAACAGTTTAATCATCCCGAATCAAATTTCCAAAAAACTACTTATTATTACCTAAAAATATTGCGACTCCAAATATAAAATCAGTTTTGAATTATCAAGTCTCTAAGGCCCTGAATTTCTGATTTGAACAGTCTAGTTATAAATGATACTTTTCTTACCAAACAGATATAGGTCTCATCTCATAAGATCCATATACTAAACTTAATTTCTCATGACATTTCATATTAAGCATTTAAGTGCACAGAGTTAGGGACTAGAATATGTCAGAAACACGTACGAGGGTCAGGGTATTACAGGGCGTATGACAACACAAGCAGAGAAGTCATGGAGATAGTGAAAGTGCAAGTCCAGGTGGGCCCCATCTGAGCAAGAGATCGAGTTCCATGTACTGAATGTGCCAGCTACCTTTAACCTGCTGTTAAGGAGGC